GGGGGGGGGGAGCTAAGCGCAAGGTGATTATTTGTTACATGTAGTTGCTGTGAGTAGAGATTCCGAAAATACGGCTTGCCACACGCCAAGTTCAGCTACCATCGACAAACGAACTCGCTGTGCACGTGCAAACCCAATATACGTACTACAGTGCGAAGACGTAGGTTCGGGTGGCCGTTCTAGGCGCCCGGCACTCGTCTGCTGTGACCGAAATCGAAGGGTTCAGACGTCGGTCGCGTGGTCCGTGGTCGTGGTTAGACAAGCGAGCACCTGTGCGCAAGGGTCGGTCTACTCCCAGGGAGGAGATTTTACTATTTGTGCACCTTGTGTTGTCAGTGAATCTTGAACGCTTTCCTTCGTCGGACGACGTCTCACTACACTGATAAACCGAGTGCGCACCTGCTTAAAACTTGTGTGTACAACTCCTTAGGTGTACTTGTACACTTGCAAGTGTGCAACTCGGTAGCTGCGCACTTGCAAGTTTGCATCTCCGCGGTTGAACACGTCCTTGCTGTGCGGGAAGTGCTCGACAGAGGAGTTGCACCCTTGGAAGGGCACATAGCTACCGACCACAATTGAAAGTTTAGTATTACACAGTGGAACACTTGCAAGTATTCTAGTTGCAGTTCGACACTTCCAAGTTTTTAGGAGTTGCACACTTAGTTTATAGGTGTCGAGATGGACCCGCTAGCCATTTTCGAGGTTATCAACCGTGCAACATCCAAACGTGGCGCAAGCTCGGGGCTCGGGTGCTGGCCTGCCCAGCCCTGCCCTTCTGCTGTAGGGGCGCCGCCAAGGTAGGCAAGCCAGCGGGCAGGGCTGCCTGATGGGTTGCCGTCGGCGCTCGGCCGTGGGGGACGATCGGGTACGTGCGACTTTCCAGAGCACTGTTATTTGCAGTTGCTATCGAGTAAAATGTTAATATAACCCCCGAACCTAAGAGAGCAAGCGAGATGTAGAAATCAAACATCACTGTGTTTTTGTTCTTTTTATTTCTTCGCGTTTGTCAATAAATTAGTGGATGTAGGCGGGGGCGGCGGCGTAGCCGAGGGGGGCAGCGTGGTAGGCGGGGGCGGCAGCGTAGGCCAGGGGGGCGGCGTGGACAGCGGGGGCGGCGTAGGCGACGGGGGCGGCCACGGTCTTAACGATGGGGGCGGGGGCGGCGTAGGCCACGGGGGCAACAGCCACGGCGGAGCGGGAGATCTTGTAGGTGTTCTGGTAGGAGGTGGCCACGGGGGCGATGGTCTTGACGATGGGTGCGGGGGCGGCGTAGGCCACGGGGGCGGCGTGGACCGCGGGGGCGGCGTACGCCAGAGGGGCGGAGTAGGCCAGGGGGGCGGCCACGGGGGCGCCGATGAAGCCAGCCGAGGCGGCGGCGATGCACAGGGCAAAGACGGCCTGTTGAGAAAGACAACACCTTACGTTAGAGCGACCCTGTCCTGCTCGTCGAAAACCGCCTCGTTACTGAATGTCATCTGCAGCCAGCTATCGAGACTTACGAGCTTGTACATGGTGGCGGTGTGGTTGGTGTGCTTGCTGGGGTGCAATGCGAATGGAGTGCCTTTGTCCCGCACGGCGCGCCAATATATACTGCGGGCATTTCGCGGGGTGCCCCCTCCCAAAAGAAGCTCGCCAATGCGCCTCTGCCCCTCCCCACTTACTCCTTTAGCCGACCACGCCCGCCACGTTCCGCTATGCACCTCCATGTCCCTCCCCGCTCTGCCACGCCCCACCACCCGCGAAGCCAGGGATATCCTAACCATGACCTTCGGTGCAGAGCAAAAATGAAATATACAACCCCGTTAAAAATACAAAACCAATCATCATTAGAATAGGAAATTATCAGTTTGCAAATTACTCGCAAAATATAAAAGTTTTAATATATTTGAATATTTTTTTACACTGTATATCTGTCTTCCAGGGTGTTTAATGGTATCAGTTGTACACTTCTGCCAACGTCAACCCGTCTTTGTTTTATACAATCCTTGTTACAAGATTCCAGTTTCTGCCTACAAGTATTTCTGACAATTATTTTATTTATCTCCTTACAATCAGCGGCTCATTTTTGGTCCCCATGATTTAACATGGGAGTGTGACCACATATTAGTCATGCCGCAGGAAACGTGTTAACAAATCACTTATTGTAGCACGTGTAGCATCGGAAGAATCATATCACATCTAGATTAAGTATTAAACACCGGCCGCTTCGGAAGTAAAGCCAGTCAGGGCGGGAGGGGCGGGAGCGGCCTCGTCAGCCGCGAGACCCCCACCCAACGGCAAAACGAGGTGTGTATAAAACAGTCTGCGGTTTTGGAGAAGGCATCAGTCGCATCCAGCAGCCGATACCAGCCAACATGAACTCCCTGGTGGGTACCACAGATACAGCAGCCCCGTGTCCTCCTGGCGGACCCCATGTCTGACATTGTTGTTGTGTTGCAGATCGCCCTCCCCCTCTTCTTCGCCGCCGTCTCGGCTGGCTTCCTGGGTAGCCCCGCAGTGGCCCCAGTGGCGTACTCCAGCCACTCCACCTCCACCGTCCACGGCGCCCAGCTGGCGTACGCCGCCCCCGCCATCCACGCCGCCCCCGCCGTGGCCTACTCCTCCCCTGTGGTCCACCACGCCCCCGCTGTGGCCTACTCCTCCCCCGTGGTCCACGCCGCCCCCGCTGTGGCCTACTCCTCCCCCGTGGTCCACGCCGCCCCCGCTGTGGCCTACTCCGCCCCTGTGGTCCACGCCGCCCCCGTGGTTAAGACCATCGCCCCCGTCGCCACCTCCTACCAGAACACCTACAAGGTGTCCCGCTCCGCTGTGGCTGTTGCCCCCGTTGCCACCTACGCTGCCGCCCCCGCCTACACCACCTACGCCGCGGCCGCCCCCGTTGTGAAGAGCTACAGCTACGCCGCCCCCGCTCCCATCATCAAGAGCTACGCCGCCCCCGTCGCCACCTACGCCGCTGCCCCCGCGTACTCCACCTACGCGGCCGCCCCCGCCTACTCCACCTACGCCGCTGCCGCCCCCGTCATCAAGAGCTACGGCTACGCCGCCCCCGCCTACACCAGCGCGTACGCCGCCGCCCCCCTGGCCCACACCACCTACCTGCACTAAGTCAAACCTGCTGTGTTGCGATTGATCCGAAAAAAGTTCCAATTTTTTCGATGCTCTAGCTAAATAAATTTATTTATTGCCAAAAGAGAAACAAAACTGCTTGTGCTTTCCTGCCTGTTCCAACAAAACGTTTTCTGTTATCAGAAAACTATATTTTTTTTTCTAATTGTAAATATTGCTGCTTCTAGATTATATTGCATATTAATCGGAACAGTAAAAGTTGAAGCTGGGGCATAACTCAACTAATTCTGCTGACAAGGAGACTTATAAAGACGCCACATACACAACTCGCTTCCGGTTTAACTGCATAGTTCAAATTTTTTTGGGTTATTGTTCAAGTTATTGCAGCGGACACCCCAGAAAATAACCTTAGACCTGCAGCCCGTTTTCCCCTAAAATTAGATTTTTTCGTGGACTCTGTTTTATTTAAACTAGCTCGTACCGTTAAGATTTGCTATAAAATAGTTACACATGAGTCAATAATGCATTCCGGTGAAGCTCAAATACAGAAGAATGCAGGGAACAAGAAAACGGGAGTCACGATTTCCGGTTTCTTCTTTCCCAAATTCTTCTGCATTTCAGCTTTACCGGAATGCTATATGAGTTTTCATGCCTTCTTTTAATTTTGGAAAGTAGTCACATTTAGAGATGTTTAGTATGCAATCTGTTCATCAATGAGATGAGAACAGATTGAACGAGCAAAGGCAGCACTGCCTTGAAGGGAACAACGCCCGGGGGATAGGCAGCCCAACTAACAGCTGCGCGCTCTGGGTTGCTGGCAACTTTCTTTGCCAATTCAACCGGTTTGGTGTGCTTTCGAAATGTAAGGATAGATAAGTTGTGCAAGAGTACGCATCCTGAAAGTAGATACGACAAAATACTGTCACCGCTTCCCCAAAACTTGCGTAAAATTTGTATGACGCTCGATACAAATTGCCATTAGATATAAAATTAAAAGATCCTTCTGAGATTTTTGCTTTTAGTTCTTGAAGGTTTAGGCATAAATGATGAGCGAAGGGAAGGAGGTGGCCACGGGGGCGATGGTCTTGACGATGGGTGCGGGGGCGGCGTAGGCCACGGGGGCGGCGTGGACCGCGGGGGCGGCGTACGCCAGA